CAATTCTGGGAACAGCCGCATCAGGAGCATAGCAAGTATCATTCATGCAAATCTGATAATTGAGGGCTTGTCGCTTGGTCGAAACTTGGTTAAAGTGGTCGACCGACCAGCAGGTCCTTGGAACTGAGCAGCTCGTCCTGGGACACTTTGATATACCTAGATTAGGGCGGGGCCATGTTGCTGCTACCATCCAAATTGATGGCCAAGCCAGGAAGGATGCTGCTGAAGTTTTCCATATTTCTTGATATGAGTTATTGGCCGCTTGTTGAGAGGTTAATGGTGGGGCATAGTCTGCCTTTTCGGGTGTGAATCGACTGTTTGAGGGATGACTCGATAGGGTTCTAGATTTATGAAACAATTACACAAATGGAAGTTCTGAAGGAAATTTAGCATTGAGAAGAAAAGACTTAGAGGAGTGATAAAGCAGCTTATAAGAAATTTTACGAAGACTTTGCGATAATTTCCTTTTAAATAAGTTTAAATGTTTCCCTAAACCTAAAATTCCACCCATAAATAACCCAAAACTCAATTTCAATCCCTTTTAAAACAAAGCCCATAACAAAGCCCAGCTCATCTATTATTTCATCGAAAAAAAGTGTGACAATATCATAATTTGTCAACTTGCATTACAAAAATTAAAAAGAAGTCCGCCCCGAGAAAAGCGCATTAAATCCCGTGAGCTGACAAGCAGCGAAAAGATCAAAAGGATGACAAACAAATGATTGCGGGCGCAACAACAAAAAAAACCTTATAAAAGGAGCGGAAAAATTGTGGAAAAAATAATACGAAGCGAAAATCAACGAGCCAACTTCAGTTTCAATTACAAAATTACAAAAACAGGCGTCAATCAGCCTTAATAATGGGGCGTGGCCCAACCCCCGAAGCGAGAATCTCCGCCTGCTACTTAACCCTTTACCAGGCCAAGGGGTGGATCTGCTCTCGGCTGAGGTGAGGACACAGTTCTTATTCTACTTTACTTTTTATTTTTCTGAAAATATTGCCATCACAATGCTTTGGTTATTTATAATGCTCGGCACACACAGGAAGTTGATACTTGAGGATGAAAATGTTTATGCGGGCGCTGGACGACGGCGGCCACGTGGCAGTCAGTCAGCCTCATCAGAAGAAAGGATCGGAAGGAGCAGGACAGGCTGAAGGACAAACCAGTCAAGGGAAATAATCAAGCATATTAATGACCATAAAAGCGGACTGAAAGAGTTAAATGCATTCAATGCAGGCGATTGTCGCTCCGTTGCTCTTGTTTCTGTTCCTGTTAAAAAAAAGAAACTCAAACTGCAACTTGGTGGAAATTAGGAATAGGGTGGCTGGGAGTGGACCCTGGCCATGTGCTTAATTACGTGTAGCGGCCAAAGTTTGTTGACTTTTTTGTGCTCTGTTTTATTTTCCCATAATTAAATCTCAACCCTCGTCGAAGGGAGGTGAGTTGAAGTGTTTGATTGCAAAGTGCTTTGGGTACAGCTGCGCAGGGGTAAACTAAGTTGTAGTTTCAATAGTACGACTGCAGAACACTAATTAACTTATTTCGTTAGGGTCCTGTTAGGTAGTTACTCTGTGTCTCTATAAGTCAAACCTAGTTTTCTAGGCAATAGGGACTATAAATGCAGGATTAATATGTCCGATAACTTACAAATATAAGTTTGATTGTGTATTATTTCAATGGTTATATTAATTTATATTACACCATTTTTGGTGTTTGTAATCAAATAGAAACAACATTTTGGATTTCTATCAAAGCTTAAGCATTTACAAAAATACATATTTTTTTTTACTTTTGAACTTAAGTTTTATACAAAACAAAATCAATTTTTCAATAATTATTAGAAAAGTTTTTAAATTAATTTATTTTATTAAATTACACGTTAACTTAAAAAAAAAAAGTTCAAATCTTAAACCAAAAAACATGTGGTTTCTTGTTTAAACTATTTATTAGTTTAGTTTAACTTTAAATATATTATATAATCTCAGTAAAAATCCGCAGTTTATTAAAAAAAAAGGAAGGTACAGTTGTGCTTATGGCCGACTAAGTAATTCAAAACCACAGAAAAAGCACAAATACGAGTGAAACCCGCACACACATCAATCAACTATAATGATCTGGCACGAATAAAAGGCTGATATGTGATGAAAACTTTTGTGCGTGTTTGACTATTATCAACTGTAAAATATCAAATAACCACCAAGGATAACTGACAAAACCATGGCAAATAGCACCGAAATGGAAGCATATTTTTGTGGGCATAATGATTTGGCAAAAAGCTATGGCCAAAAGCCAACGGCAATCGTCCACATATGGACCAAAGGACACATGGACACAGGCATCAGATTACATTGTTGTGGTGGAAAGCTTCCCTTCCACACACGTGTTTCCCGGACGATATCAATAAAAAGGACTCCTCGTCGCCGTTGCCTGGCAAAAAATAGAGAAAAGAAACCGCCGCAAAATATATGCGAAATTGACAAATTGACATACGTTTTGGCTTACTGAGAAAAGTACGGAGAATAAATGGACTGGGTGAGAGTAAGGTCCTTCGCCGCCATCATCTGTCCTGTCATTAGAAATAATTGTGTGTGGATGACGTTTCTGACAGCGATAGAAATAGAAAGCGAGGTGAGCAGCTTAAGGCCTTTTTTAGAATATTTCTATGGTCAGCTTTTGGTGCGTGATTTTAGAACTGATTGGATGCCAGTGCAGTGCGCTTCATAAATATAAGTTAAAGGTGACACTCCACTATATACCTTCGTCATATACCATAACTCCATTTTCGAAAAATTGCATTTCCAAGTGTTTTAAATAAAAAAAAAAGTTTAAATAACTTTTTGTCTTTTTTTAAATGTTTTAATTTTCAAAATACTTTCTCAAAATATAATATAAAAAACTTAAGAACTAAAACAATTTAAAAAAGCTATTTGATTGTTATTATGTAAAATATCCTTAGACTTTTGAAACGCACTGTATGCTCCAGAATAAACCCCTTTGACCTATGAATTTAGTTCAATTCTAATTGCGTTCGAATTTCTTTTGTAGGTTTAGCTGTGAGCAAGTCCTTTTGTTGTGTGCCTTGAATTATGTGCGAAAAAGTCCTGATTTCGATTTAAGATTAAACAGTGCGTCATATGAGGGATGAAGGGAGTGAGAACTGGCAGATTTATAAGCCAAGATTATAAGTGGAAGCTTCAGTGGTCTCTTGCTCAGTTTACGATGCCTAAACACATCCTTCTGAGCAAATATTTTCTTCGGCAAGTCCCCAGACATTTACATTTACGATCGGCGCCATAAAAACCGAAGCGTTCCTTATAGTTTTGTGCTATCAGAGAGTAATTAAAGGAGGAACAAACACAGCTGCCGAGCAGTCCACTTCCTGTGGATGTTTTTAATCCTTTTCTGCGCTTTTTGCATAATTTTATTGGATAATTTTTTTACGACAACTTCCCCAAAGGGAATATGCCGCATAAATGAAATAAACGTTTTACGACAAGGGCAAAACAAAAGAAAATAAAAAGGAAAATCAACCAAAAAATTGTGTAGCAAAAGCGCGGAAAAGAAAACAAAACCAAAGGACAGAACGGAGTAGAGAAGAACACTTTTTATGACATTTTTTGCTGACGATTCTACTGCCCCCTGTCTGCAATTGTTTATCTAAAAGGATAATTGTCGAAGGGGTTGGCGAAAATGAATTACATCTTCATAAGCAATAAAATCATTAAGTTTTCGCTTTTTATATCCTTGCAGAGGGTATTATAATATCAGTCAAAAGTTTACACCGCAGTGTACACTCATACCAAAATTAGCCCTAACAAGACAGGAAGCAAACTTTGGCAAACCGAAGTTTATATACCCTTGCAGTTATTATTACCTATATTATGCATTTTACCATCGTTTCTATAGCATCTAAAATAAAAGCGTAATTCTAAAATAGTAAATAATTATTTTATCTCAAACAGCCAAATATTTTTATTTAATACATTTTTTTTTCATTTTTTGATTTTCCTATGGGAGCTATATGAAAACTTTCCCAAAAGTTGTCTTTTTATTGAAGGTAGTATATAAGTCAGAACGAGTTGGATCGGGCGACTATATCATATAGATACCATAGGAACAATCGGAAAACAATTTGTTTCATTCTTCTTTGGGATTTGGTAATATCTAAATACTATGAAATTACGGTTTTAATTAAATTAAAATTGGACAACTATATTATAAAACTCTTATACAAAAATGAAAAAAATAATAAATATTGCTGTTTTTATATTTATCAAAATATTCCTTTGAGATGTAGTAATTATTTACTATACTTATATACGCTTTTAGTTTTTTAAAAGTCGGACAACAATATCATATAGCTGCCATAGAAACGATGGCAAAATTAAATCGACATAGCTTCATTATTATTAGTAATATAGGCATAAAAATCGAAATGTAGTGGTTTTGTAATAACTGCAAGGGTATACAAAATTCGCCTTGGCGACGTTTGCTTTCTTTTTTGTTAGTGTTAGATTGAGAAAATATTTATATTTTGTAGGATTTATCTTATATTTTAAGACAATATTATTATTTATAAAAAAATGTAGAATTTTTTTCTTGGATTTGGGGTGATTTTGGTTTATGGCGACACTTTCTACTTTTGAGAAATACTATCTTAATTTAAGAAAAATTTGCAAGCGGATCGCCGCAGATCTCGTCCGCTGACCAGTGCCAACCTGCTGGGCATCGCCGCTGCCCTTATCAATGTTTGTTGTATTTATGTGGGCAATTTAATCATTTATTAAAGCTCAAAATAGGTTTCGAGATAAAGGTTCGTTCAAAACAATTTGAGAGTGGCTCAACGGAGACTCAAAACAAGTGCTTAAAACCCACTGATTACGATTTGTTCACTGATAAGGCATAACATCCGGGCAGCTGTCCGCATTAAATTGGGGCTCTTCGAAAGTCAACAAATAAATCAATTTCAGTTTTTTCAAAGCGTTTGCCCTTACCGGTTGCTTACTTTTAATATGTTCAAGTCATCGATTTATTTTTTCTTTGCGTTCCTTTCATACAATTTGTATGGATCCTTGGCAGAAAGACAGGACAATGGGCGATCCGTATGCCTGCTGAACGACCCGCCAAATCAATGTGGAGAGTTTTGTCTTGAGGCCCTGAAGCCAATGCTCGATCACATTGCTTCTCACCAGAAGGAGTGGAGCACTTGCAATCCCCAAAATCAAAATGAAACACAGGAAACACTTGTCAGAATCGAAGCAAAACTTGACAAGTTGCTCGACCAGGAGAAAGCTTCATCGACGAATGCAAATATCCTTGACTTACACGCGAAACTGGATCGGATTGAAAACCTACTGGCAGACCTGCAGGAAAATGTGTCTAAACGTGTCTCCAACGCTAGCATATCTCCTTTGTTCACGCGAATCGGGTCTAGATTAATTTACATCGAAAACAAAATCGAAAAGTCCTGGGACGGTGCTGAAGAAACCTGCCGCGAGATGGGAGGTCACCTGGCAACTATTCAAAACGATTCGGACTTTAGCGCCATCAATAATGAACTAGATCTCAATCGCTTGTACTGGCTGGGCATCACAGACGTGGCCAAGGAGGGAGAGTTTGTGTCCGTGGCCACTGGCAAACCAGCAACCTTTTTCAAGTGGGCATTTGGTCAACCAAACAACTTAGTAGACAAAGATAACTGTGTGGATACTTACCAAGGCGAAATGTACGATAGCGAATGTAGCAGAAGTCTATATTTTATCTGTGAGGCTGTTGGATAAGTGAAATTATACAAAGCACGTACTTGCTACACCTTATGTAAAAATAGTTATTGAAAAAGTTAAATAAGCTGTTGTGTTTTGGTAACTGCGTTTCTTACTAATAAACAAGTGTCCATATTTTTCTTTGTCTTGTCTAACTGAATTGGGGTTTAACCTGAGAAAAGTGAATGTGAAGACGGGCTCTAACATTTGAAGCACGTCCAAGTCGGACAGCACAACAGCAGATCATGGTTGTCAGCAGGTCACGAGAAGCAAGAAATGAATGGAATGTCGTGATCAGCAATCCTCTCCTGCTGCAGCTGGATCAGGTTCCCAGGATCGGAGAAAGGGTTGCAGCTGGACCCTCAATCTGTGAGATCTGGGGAGACCTACATACGGAACTGTGCTAATCGTTCTGATCTTTACTTCCTAAACAGAGATCAAATCATGAAAAAAAAATATTTTTTTGTATTTATCAAATATAATGTAAACATCTATAAAATATCTTAACATAATATTTATCTTTAAGTGGCAATTGTATATTATAAACAACAAAAATATAGATAGGCAATGAGGAAAAAATTAGGTTTCTGGACATAATAAGGGGATGGTCACTTTGGACCTTTGGCACGAGAAGACGCATTAGAATAAAAATAGATAATATTAAGCCGATCTTAGCGGCTACTTATAAAAAGAAAGTTTAAGGCGATTACAAAACACGGTTTAAACGACTCACATCGTTTCTATTTTTTAGGATTTTCTAATTTTTAGGGTTAATTTGAGAAATTTGTTCTACTTTTTAGGGTAATTTATTTTTTTATTGCAGTATTCCTCATTTTAAGAATTTTTTTTTTTAAACAAGTATAATTTTTTCTAAAGTATAGAAATTTGTTCTTGTTATTATCTGAGGGCGCATTGGGGGTTCTGTAAAATATATATAGGAGAACGTCTCGAAAGCAGCTTAACTTGCTGAGGGCCAGCAGACAAACAGAAAACTCTTCAGGTGTACGGCCAGGACCTGATGTCCTTTCAGTTTCGAAGGCCCATGGATGCTCTTTTAAAGGAAAATGTGTAAATTAAAATTATTTGGTAGATGAACGTTAAAATGTTCAGACATTTGAAGAAATAATCATAAAAAGTAAGCCATTACCAGAAAATATTAAAAGTTTGATTAATGTTGCAATCAAAAAATTCAGTGTTAAAAAATGTAAACTTTTTACAACGTAGAAAATGTTTTTATTAATTTCATTGCTGATTTTACATCGTATATTATTATCTATCAAAAAGAGTGTTGCACCTTCATCTTTTATGTTTTACCAGTTGAGCTGTATAAATGTTTTTATTTATTTATATAATGCCAATTTATATTTGTTTATCAATGCTTTGATGCTCTTTTATGTTGAGACTTATCAAATAGACGAGCGTCCATTTAGTGGCCAAAACAGGGATGGGACCAAGTAAGGTGTACTTTTCGTCCTCGATTCAACTCCCTCCGAATTTGTTCCCACCCACTATTTGTAACAATTACGGACCAACTTAAATCCCACGAAGTTCTTCTCCCCTTTTGTCTTTCCTCATGGCAACTAACAAATTGAGTCGCATCAAGATTTAAAGCGGTGCTATTTTCTCCCCACGAATTCACTTCTTTTTGCTACAAGTTCATCTGTCAAATGTCAAGCATCCTTCCAGACTTGGGAATGTCCTGCGTTTACATTAACTAAATTAAGTGCTTGTCTTTTTTTTCCTTTTGATACTTAGCCTCTATTTTTACCAATCTTTTTTCCGTTTCCCGCTTGGCTGATGCATAATTTGTTAATTTAGCAATTGGTTGTCAGTCCTTGTCCAGTTTTTCGCTGTCCTCTTTTGGGATGCCCGATTAATGAAATCTGGACAAGGGTGATATTTTGCCATGGTGAGTAAATTGGTTAATCGGATTGAACTGTTTTTTTCTAGTTCAAGGAGGAGTATTCAGACATTAAGTTTGATTAAATGAGGCCACATTTTGGATTTAGTTGGGGTTCGGGTAATCGAAGTTTTTCGGTAAATAGTAATGGAAACAAAGCTTGGATGAATTGAAAATGGTTAGTTACTATATGCAAACTAACAGTTTTATTAAAATATTTTTATATTTATATGTTTACCTAATCTAAATATTTTAATATTATTTTAATAAGCTTACTATAAATATCAAATACTTGAATATCACACCAAACAAACTCCACAATTAAATTATTGCCTCAGAATATTTAAATTTAATAAAAAGCGTTTTAAAAACATAATAGAAAACTTCCTTCTTTATTTTGTAAATTAGGCTAAGACAATGAAGCTTTAAATTTTAACCGTATTTATATTGTATAAATTACCGCCCCCTCTATTACCGTTTTCATATATCCCATGCACCCCAAACACTTTCTCAACAAAATGCTAATTGCAAATTAATTGTGCGCTGCATTCAAAAACAACAAACTCAACTGAACGAATTGAAAAGGCTTTTCTAAATAACGAAAACAAAAAAAATGGAAAGAAAAACAAACAGAGTGGAAAGCCGGGGACAGAAAAGCTTAGCAAGCAAGGCCCAAATAAGCGTTAAATGTTGCAAAAATAACAACCTACAAAAGGATATTCAGGGGAGGATATGAAGTCCCTGCCAAACACTTGTGGCCAGCAGAACACACACATGTTCCCCACTTAAATGGAATTCCGGGAGGAGTTGGTGATGGGACTCTGCAAAAAGCAAACAAATTAGTCATCATTAGCGTTTGGCCAGGATCAAGGCTCTAGGATTCGACGATTCCAGGCCGGCGACTCTTCGCTCAACTCGGGCAGATTTGCGTTAAATAAGCGCACTTAATGCGATTACAAAAAAAATACACACACCAAATAACAAGAGCAGTGGCAAATGCTGTGTATATATTTATGCACAGTGAAATATCAAAAAAGCGGTGGACTTGGGCAAATTGAAGTCAAAAGCGTAAAAGCGCATTTGCAACAAATGTTCAGGTCGAAAAAAGCCTCGTAATAAACATAACCGATTATAAAATACTCTTTGAAGTTACATACCATTAGCTCATTTACTAAAACTAAAAGTAGTTTAGTTAAAACAAAAAAAGTTTATTACAATTTATTTAACTTACAATTTTAGAAACTACTTAAAATAACAAAAAGCTATAACTATTCAAAATATAACCATTTGTCCACGAGACTATCTACACCTTTCTCATTATTTAATGTTTTATGAACATGAGCAACCTTCTTTTGAAATTGAATGGCCCCACTTGAAGGGTATCAAAAAAATCTCTCCTTCCAAAATTAGGAAAGGGACAAACTGACAAATGCAGCCGAAAACGAATTTCACTTTGAACAATTTGTGCATGAATGAACCTGTCCAGCGACATGACCATGGTAATTACAACCAAAGAGGAGCAGGTGGATGTTGATTTTGGATTTCTTTCGCAGGCTTTAGAGATATGATTCGTTCCTTTTTTAAGTCAAATCCAGAAAACAAGTTATGTACCTGAATGTATCAAAGAATAGCTGTTAGTAATCTCCAAAAAAATGTATGTTGTTTGAAAAACATACTTCGGAAAAACATGTTAATATAAATATATTTAATGGGAAAACCTTTTTGCGGGAAACAAGAAGCACATACCAAGCCAATTTAAATTAATTTTTAATGGCACAAAGATAATCATTAAGTAAAAACCTCAAAACCCAACCCGAGGTAAGTTGTAATCACCATGACGAAGCATCCTCACACTGCTAGAAATCATCGTAGACAGGAAAGCATCTGCGCTTTGGATACAGGCGGTACTTACACATGTCAAATGTCACAAAGCGCATTCATAACGCGAAAAAATTAGCCGCAACCGAGTAAGAAAAATTTACCCAATCAGCGAACTGAACTCTGACCCATCCCATCCAAACCGAAAATATGAGCAGGAGTGCGACGATTACGAAGTCGACCCTTTTGGTCGTCAAGCAGCTGTCATAATGATGGACCAAAGTGCATCATGAGCGGCAGAAGCGACATTTGTTAGTGGGTGAAAAAAAGCGGAAAAGGAATGAGTTCTCTTGGATTTTCAGACCACCTAATACCCAGTAAATCTTGTATTTATAATTATTTTTAAAATTAATAAAAAACATTTTATTCCAGTTGTCTATTTTTTGAAAAACGAATCGCTTTTTTTATATAAATAAAACTTTTACTTCCTTTCATGTTTAAAAGGTTAATATATACATTTTAAATAATTTTTAATTACGAACTTAATTATAGAATAAGTACAGAACAGATTAAAGGTATAATTTAAAAACAAAATAGAGAAATATTATATATTATACATTTTAACAAAGGTATTTTGAATTAAATGAAATTAATCTGGAAATCTCTTTTATATATCTACTTATGATTATATTGTTACTTGTAATTCCATTTTTGTTTTAATTACTAAAACATTTTACGAAGACGTGGTTTTGATTAGTTATTTTCTTTCCTTAAATTTATTATTCTAAAGACATTTCAACTGAAAATAAGTATGCTGTTAGAATATACGGATTCTCTGGGAAGATAAATATACTGTACCGGATTCGGGTATCTGGACATGCCCTTCTACTACTGGGTATCAGAAAATCTCACTCTCTGGTCCACATGGTCACCAAAAGCTGACAACTCTCGCGAGTCCATTGGCAGGAGGTTTGGAAAGAACAGGGAACTGAACTCCGGCAATGCCATCGACATCGGAGTAGCGGGCATAAATTACAAAAAGCAATTACAACGCCAAAAACACACACACGCCGTACTAATCATGCGAGTGGGGCCGGTGGGAGGGGGGCGTGGCAGCTGGCACAGATGCGCGCCACCTAGCGTTCAAAAATTGCACACTAATTGCGCGCAATTTGTGCGGATAGCAGAATATCTGGTCATTAGCCTGGGCGGGCACTTAAATGCCCGTATGAGTTATTGTCGGGGATCTCAAGGGACCTCCAAAGGCAAAAGGCTCTTGGCGCTTTATTAGTCAACACAC